CCTCGTCGTCCTCGTCGTCCTCGCTGCAGCAGGCGAGGGCGGCCCCCGCCGGGAAGGGGCAGCGGGGCTCGGCCGCCGAGGCCGGAGGTGCCGGCGGTGGGAGGAGGCTGCTAGGCCCAGGCGGTACCTCCGCCATCCTGGAGGCGACACAGACCGAGAGGGGAGGCCATGAGAGGCGGCCGGCGAGCGCGGGGCAGGGGCGGCGGGGCGGCGGAGGTGGGGGGAACAAAGGCAGAAACCGTCCCTCTGGAGCGGCCCCCAATTCCGCGCCCCCCCGCTCTCCAGCGCCGCCCAGCCGCTCCGCCGGCCACCGTCCCCGTCCGCCCGCGCCCAGCCGCCAGCCCTGTCACCCGCGGCCCCTCCTCGTCCCCTCCGCGCGGCTCACCCCGCACAGGTCCCCGCCGCCACTGCCGCCACTCCTCTTCCTCCTCAGCCGCCTCCGCCGCCTCCTTCGCCGCCGCGGCCGCCTCCACCGCCGCCGAGGCTCTCACTCTGCCGCCGTCGCCGTAAAGCGCCCCGGCTGTTACCCCGGGTAAAGTTTCCTGGGCCGGGCTTTACGACACTTCCCTGCCTGCCGGCTGCCGGGCCGAGGGAAAGGGGCGTGGAGGGAGGTGACCTGTGCGGGGGCGGGGACGAAGGTGTCTCTTGCCGGCCTCGGGGGAGGCCGCGTGCTAGCGGGCGGGGCTGTGGGGCTGCGAGGCGGGGAAGTTGCGGGAGCTTTGCAGTGCCCCGCTCCCAATGCTCTCTCCTCGGCTTTGGCCTCCCGTGCCCGCCGAGCTCGCCGCGCGCGGCCGGGGAGGGGTGGGCCGGACGGGCGGTCCGTATTCCCAGCCCGCCGCCCCCGCGGAGCTGCCGCGAAGCCCGCCCGCTCGGGGCCTGCTGACCGGGCCTTACGCAAGCCTTCGGAAAATGCTTTTCCTCAACTGTACGACGTTTAACTTTTGCCCTAATGGGACCGGGGTGGGGGCGGGGGCGGGTTACCTGAGTCCCTTAAAAATGGAGCCAAGCAGGGGAGAAAATCGAAAATGAGAGAGAGTTAAAAGCTTTGAGCTGCGAAAATATGGGAATGGCTGTTGAAACCTGGTCGTGTGCCATGTGAATTAAGTTGAACTAGTCTTTGCTCCTTTGAGGCAAGAGAAGGTGGATAGGTGGTCCTCTTCCTCTCTTTATCCTCTTCACCCAGCCCAGCAAAGTTGTGGGTAAATGTGATTAACAGGTGCTGGGCAGCTGCAAGCACACCTGAGGAAGAGTTAGAGCGAGATGGTGGAGGAGAGTGACGACAGCTCAGAAGCACATTCCTAAGCTTGTGGTACCAATTGTGATAGGGTGTGTATCACCGGTAAGGAGGTGTACTTGACCCTCTGCCCCACTCTCTCCGCCAAGCGGTCGGCCTCAGCGGGTGCAGAAGGGATAGAACCGCAGCCCGCGCTTCAGCGTATGGCTCCGCTCTCTCCGCTCTGGTCCGAAACTGATGATTTTCAGCAGATCTGTTCCAAGACGAACGCAGGCAGTGTATGTAACTCACCAGCACACAAATTAAGTTTTTCATAATCTGATTGTAGAGCTGGTCAGGTATGCAGCAGAGGGACATTTTCAGGGATATAATTATGTGACTGATTATATTTGCAACTTTTTGCTGTAATCCAAACTCTGTAAAAAGTGGGATACACTGTAGCATAGCTGTTAGATACAATTGTTAAGAGTCCAAGATGTTAAAGAAAAACTGTCACCTCCATCTAGAAGTTCAACCTATAGTGATAAAAATAACAATAATAAAATGTGTTACTATGTGCCAGGCATACTGTTCTAAATATCTTACATGTATTTATTAACTCATTTATAGGTTTTTATAGAAATACTAACATTCATGCATGAATAGACATGTAGAAGCTTATTTATTTCAGCCTTGTCTATAGTAGGAAAAAATAATTCCAAACCACCTAAGTATCAGTACAGGAATAACTAAGTAAATTTGTAATATACAAATACCATACAATGTTACTGTTAATTATGTCACTGTGTAACAGATTGAAATAGATATATTGATACTCTTCCAGTTGCTATCGCTGCATTGCAAATTACCCCCACCGCATCGTGGTATAAAACAACCATTTATGTGCTCGCAGATTCTGTGGGTCAGGAATTCAGACAGATCACAGCAGGGATGATTTTTCTCTGCTCCATTATGCATAGGGCCTCAACTGGAAGACTCAAAGGCTGAGAGCAGGAATCATCTGAACGCTTTTCACTCTTAGGTTGGTGGTTGATACTGACTGGAGGATGGATTTCATACAGACCTCTCCATGAGGTCTCTTAGGATGGACTGCTGTGGGCTTCCTCACAGCGTGATGGCTGAGTTCCCAGGGCAAGTATCCGAAGAGAAAGAGCCAGATAGAAGCATATTACCTTTTATGACCTAGCCTTAGAAGTCGTATGTTGCCAATTCTGCTGCATTCTATTTATTCAGGCCGTTACAAAGTCTCATCTATGTTCAAGGGGAAGGGAAATAGACTCTACCTCTTGATGAGGAAAGGCAAGGTTCTCAAAAAGCACGTGGGACCAGAAATATTGCTGTGGCCATTTTTGGTAAATATGAGTTGCCACAGGTGCATACATTGAAAGACCTCCTAAACCTGTTAAGGGGGTAAAATAGATGAGATGTATAATAAGTACAATGTGATCCCATTTATGGTTTTTAAAAAGTACCAAACAAAAACGTATTTCCAAATGTATGTACATTCTTCAAAAATACATATTTTTCAAACAACAGTTTCTGGGTGTAACCTGGGTGTTCAGCCAAAGAAACAATGATCTGTTCAAGTTATGCAGGATAAACTGGCCAAAATGGCCCCACACAATTCTGCAAGACATGTTTAAGTGTAATTTTTACTTAGAAAAATGTCTGTCACTCATTAACTGTGGAATACAACTGTCTCCTAAAAAAGATGTGACTCCATCATAATGAATGAGTGGCAGCGAGTCTTCATGTTCTTTCCATGTTGTAACTTGGCATTGAGCTTTCTCACACTGAGGAGCTTGACAGTACTGACTTGATGTTGTCTCAAAGTTATTTTCAGAAAGTTGCGAGTTGTAAAGAGCTCTTTCAGTCAGGGACTGAGTCTTATTCACTTTGTATTCACCTATCTAACACACAAAAGGGGACTTAAGTTTTTTGACTGAGTTATGCTATTCTCTCATTCAGCAGTCTAGGATGTTTATAATTACAAAGTAAATTCTGGCCTCCTTGCTAATTAATAAGCTGATAAGATTTCTGATGTCTAAGCTCCAGTGACTCCACTTTATATCCCAGTATTAAAATCCCAATGACGACCTTCTAAGTCAGATGAATTCTCTAAGAAATCTGCCTTTATACTTATGAAATCTTTTCTTTTTACTCATGTTTATGAGTAATATGCTGATAATTTGGTAGCATTATTTTAGGCATAGAAATAGGATTAGTTCCCTCTAATACTTTAGGCACATTTGCCTGTTATGAAAGTCTGTCTCCCTGAGCAATGAGCTCATAGGGAAGAAGGGTCTCAGAGCAGGGGAGTGTGACCAGTGATCCTCTTCCATCTGGCTCATTGGTATTTTCATTGCTTTTTAGTGTCCTATGATGCAATAGTTACTTTTTTACTGTTGTCTTTATTCTCTTTTGAACAACGAAAGGACACACCTTCATTTTTTTAGAAGGCTGAAAAATCCTCATCAAATCAGTTAAAATAACCAACAACAATTTCAAAACAACATCCTAAAGCAACTTCCTGAAGTTAGCTTAGAAGGAAAAAAGTTCCTCCCTAATTCTAACAGCTAGACATTTTTCTCTTATTGGCTAAGTGTAGAAGGGAAACGTAGCGGTGTGCACACCTGAAAGGTAGCTGTGGGAATGAAGACATTAATAATGGAGAGATGCTTTAAATTCTCTTGACTCAGCAGGATGGTATGTTATGTGCCATAGGCACACATACTGAATAATTTAAATATTTGTGTAGTTTTATTTTACAATGCCATGTGGTTCTTAATCCTACTAATCCTGTCTATTATACATAAAGCCTTGAATGTGAGTGTTCTTAACATTGTTTTATCCTGGATGAAAAAAGGGCATATATCAAATATGAGGGCTATAGAATTTAATCAAAGGATCAATATTAGTATATTGTTTTACCACCTGTAATCCTGGAACACTTAATTAACAACTTGAATCCTCCCTTTGAATTTGGGGGGTGACAGTCTGTTCTTTAACCTTCTTTCCCTTTGAGAACAGTGGTTGGCATGCCCAATTGTACGCACTGATTTTGTTTGTAGAACTAAGGCCTCAAGGGAGTATGAAGAACCAGAGAGGGCTATGGTCAAATAGTCCCCATTTCCATTACTTTCAATCTCATACTAACTTTCATAACCTGCCCAAAGACATGGACAGGCTGATTCTCATATCTCCACCTGGGTTGGTGAGATGTGCTGGGGAGAATCATTTATTCCTACATGTTAAAGTCATTGAAAATTCTTGGTCTCCAATTTAGCTAGGACCTCAGCTGTCAGTACTCTAGAATTGTTTATACCTGTCTTCCAGGCTAGCTTCATCCAACAGCGACTATCCCTCACCACTACTTGCTTCATACTGTGCTTCTCAGCAGATGACCCTGCCTCCATTTCACTAAGAAAAATGAGCTATCCCTAGGTGCACTCCTTCCACTTCCACCCCCCATGCCTATAAATACATCTTTATCTGAACTTACCCTTACCTCCTTCCCCCCAATCTTAGTGGGTGGGATATGGCCCAACTCTTCAAGACTAATGCCTCCCTCCACCCGTGAGCTTGATTCCATCTCCTTTAGTCTCCTTTAGGACCTGACCCATCATTATTTCTCTCTGCTGAATTTTCAGCAGTACCTTTGCTAGCTACTGCCTCGAAGTTTATATGTGTTCCGTCTGGAGACTTCTGCTACCATCCTTTCTCCCTCCCCTTTCCATCACAGTGAAACTCCTAATCTGAAATAGGTAGCCACTATCTCCACTCAGGTGCAAATTTGCTCTTCAGCTAGTTGGTTGGCTTCTACCTCAGCCCTTCCACTAACACCTCTTTGGCAAAAGTCACCCATTATGTCCCAAAGGTTAGCCCCGTTAGGCTCTTTTCAACACTCATGTCACTTTATTCCTCCATGGCATTTGATCCTGCTGTGCGTTCCAGAAACTTTTCCCTTGGCTTCTGGCATACCACTCTCCTTTGCCTTCCCTCCCTGAACATTCCTTCTCAGTTTTTCTTGATCATAGTAGTCTATAATCACAATAGTAGTAGCCAGCAATTATTGTGGGCCTACCACGTATTAAGTTTGTTACAAGCAATAGCCCATTTAGTTTTCACAATAACGCTATGAAGTACGCGGCATGACTTGGTGGTTAGCAGCCACAGCGGAATTGGGTCACCAGCCTATTCCTGAGTCAGTCACTGGAAAGGGGCTGGGTTTACTCTTCTATCACTT